AATAAAGAAAAATAAAAAGACACTTGGTGTTTGCACATTATACTCAACCTTTCCTCAAAAGATAATCCCTCATTACCCTGAATTAACCAAATGACTTTCTCTAGAATGCTTCCAAAGCCAGAATATCTTTTTTTAGGAAAGGGGACCTAAACTATTCATAGTAGCCTAGCTGTGATCTGATTAGTGCCTCATAGTTTTAGCAAGATTTTGTTTTTTTCTGTCCATTATCTTTGAAATAAAGGTCAACATTCCATTTCCTTTCCTATTATCTGCTGAACATATATTTATGATTTATGTACAGAGACTCCCACAAATCCATTTGTGCTGTCGCTCTTTGCAGTCTCTTGCCATTTAAATAACATCCAGCTCTTCTATTCTATCTGCTGAAATGCATAACCTCACATTTTCCCACATCATATTTCATCTGCCAAATTTCTGCCCATCACTTAACCTGCCCCTGTTCCTGTGTAGACTCTTTGTGTCATCCTTACCTCTTGCCATCCCACCTATTTTAGTGTCATCTGCAAACCCTGCAATAGCGCATTCACTTCTCTGATCCAAGTCATTAATATATACTATGGCCCTAGAGCTGTTCCCATTGCACTCTAGTTACAGGTTGCCACCCCGAAATTGGTCCCCTTAGCCCAAATCTGTTCTCTATTAGCCAATGGAGGGAGGTGATGGCTTAGTGGTATTATCGCTGGACTGTTAAACTAGAGACCCAGATAACATTCCAGGGACCCGGGTTCAAATCCTGCCATGGCAGATGGTGGAATTTGAATTCAATAAATATCTGGACTTAGGAATCTAATGATAACCGTGAATCCATTATTGATTGTCAGGAAAAACCCAACTGGTTCACTAGTGTCCTTTAGGGAAGGAAACTGCCATCCTTACCTGGTTTGGCCTACATGTGATTCCAGGCCCACACCAATGTGGTTGACGCTTAACTGCCCTCTGGGCAATTAGGGATGGGCAATAAATGCTGCCTAGCCAGCGACACGCTGATCCGTGAATGAATAAAGGAAAAATAATCTTCTATCCATGTTAATATGCAACCCCTAACATCATAGGTTATATCTTATTATGTAGCCTAATACATGGTACCTTATCAAACATTTTCTGAAAATCCAAATCCATTAAAAATATTAGTACCCTTTTATCTATCCTTCTTGTTACCACGTCAAAGAATTCTAAATGTATTTGTCAGGCACGAGTTCTCCTTCGTGAAGCCATGTTTGAAGCTCTGCTTGATTATATTACGTATTTTTAAATGCTTTGCTGTTATATCCCTTATAACTGGGTTATAATAGACTATAATATTTTCCCACTTAGTTAACTGTCCTGTAGTTACCTTTTTTTTGAAGAATATACACTGGCAGTTTTCTAATCCTGTGGAAACTTCAAAACCTAAGGATTCTTAAAAGATTACTACCAGTACAGCCACTATCTCTGGAGCTACTTCCTTTATAATCCAAGATTCTGTACTTAAAAAATACGACTTATTACCAAAAAATAGTTTTTAGTCACGGGTAGAAGAATTATGTACAATTCTGGTCACACTTCTATAGGAAGGATGTTGTTAAACCCGAAAGGGTGCAGAAAAGATTTACAAGGTTGTTGCTGGGACTAGAGGGTTTGAGCTACAGGGCAAGGCTGTTTTCCCCGAAGCACCGGAGACCGAGGGGTGACCTTATAGAGGTCTATAAAATCATAACGGGCATGGATAGGGTGAATAGCCCAGGTCTGTTTCCTAGGGTGCGGAGTCCAATAGATTTAAAATGCGAGGAGAAAAATTTAAAAAGGATCTGAGGGGTAACTTTTTCATAGAGAGTGATGTATGTATGGAACAAGCTGCCACAGCAAGAAGTGAAAGTGGGTACAATTACAAAATTTAAAAGGCATCTGGATGAGTGTATGAATAGGAAGGGTTTAGAGGAATATGGGAATAGAAAATGCTGGCAAATAGAGCTAGGTCAGATTGGGATATGTTTTTAAAAAATTCATTCATGGGATGAGGGCATCATTGGCTAGGCAGCATTTATTGCCCATCCCTAATTGCCCAGAGGGCAGTTAAGAGACAACAGCATTGCTGTGGGTCTGGAGTCACATGTAGGTCAGACCAGGTAAGGACCCTTCCCTAAATGACATTAGTGAAGCAGATGGGTTTTTCTGACAATCGACAATGGATTCACGGTCATCATTAGACTCTTAATTCCAGATATTTATTGAATTCAAATTCCACCATCTGCCATGGTGGGATCCGAACCTGGGTCTCCAGAACATTACCTGGGTCTTTAGATTAACAGTCCAACGATAATACAACTAGACCATTGCCTCCTTCACAGGTGAGTTGGGCCTAAGGCTGCTGTATGACAGTGAACTGTTGACACAGAACACAATCAGTAAAAATTCTTTTTAAACTTTCCTTATGCACGTACAAATAAAAAAAAACTGGTGTTATGGCTAGAGGGAAGAAAACTGGGATGCAGGGTTCGTTGGGATGATCCTTTTAGCTTGCATAGACTTGCTGTTTGGTGATTGTTCTCTTTTCCAGGTACTTTCACTTGCCTGTAGGAGAATGACTCATTCACATTGTATGATGTTCCTGACTTACTGGTTAAAAGCAACAGCTTACAGCAACTGACAACAGAAATATACACTGGCTTTCTTCAGCCTTAAAAAGTGTTTTTTTTTAAAACAGAAGAGACAAAGACGTGAGACCTTCATTTCTAGAAGTGCGAAGACTTGTGACTACCTCATTCACATCCAACAGCTGCTCAGCTACCTGGGATCCAATCAGGTAGTTGTTGGCTAGCAGAAGGCCTTTGTCATCGGTGACTGGTCATTACACCGCAGACCAATCAGCCACTTCTTGCTGGCTGAATCTGTTTTTGTACACACTCCCTTGTGCCAGTTTGTCTAAAATTAAACATTCCCCACCATTTCAACTAACAACAATGTGCCTTTAAGAGAGATCTGTTCCATGATGCTTCTCTTGCAGAGAGCTCTTGCCACTGTATTGCTGGAATGTCCGTTTCAGAAGCAGTGGGTAAACAGCTTTGAGTTCCTTGAATTTTTTTTTAGATTAGACAAAAGAAGTAGAAGTAGAAGTGGGTACAGTCAGGCTCAGACAAACCCAGAGTTTTAGTTTTGCTTTGAGTTGGGGTTTGGAGTTGAGGCTGATAGATACAACACACACTCTCTCTCTCTGCAGCAGCAAAATGCTTGAGTTCTCTCCGTGCTGCTAGATTGTTTCTTTAAGTGTTCCTTTATTTGGACTGGAAGGGAAATAGCATGTGAAACAAATCTATTTTGCTGAATTTGCCTTTGCCAAGTGTGTGTTTATTGAAAGCTGCTATATTGCAACAGTTGATGAATAGGAGTTAAATAATATAGCATTTTATTAAGTATTTCAATAGAGTTAAACTTATGCCTTTTTTTGTTGGTATTTTAACTGTGTTGTAGGAATACAGTATGTTTTACTTGAATTCTTGTAGTGGACCAATCAAATTACTTTTGGAATACAGTGCCTTACATGTGCCTTTAAATAAGATAAAAAGTTAGGGTCTAGGCTATCTCCTATTTTGAGGGGGTTTGGTCTGGTCCATAACAACAGTGTAAACAGCACTTATATTAAGTGCTGGCAGCATGCTTCTAAAAAGTGCAGCAATTCCTTCCACCATCTCTGGTTTTTACAACAGTCCTTTTCCTATTTCAGTCCACAATCAAAAATACAGGACAATAAAAAAAAGGTCTTTAAAATGCACAGGTATTCCACTTCGACACACTGCAAGAAACACAAATATATCCCCACCCCGACTCAACGCTCCCCACTCTCTGCAAAAGAAAATGCACAGATAATCTCCTCTGATGCAGTGCAAGACACACAGATACTCCCCTTTGGTACAATGTAAGACACATAACTACTCACCACTGCACTGCAAGACAAAGATATATCCTGCATACTGTTAGTCTCCACACAGTACACTGCAAAACACACAGTTATTGCCAATTCCACTGCATTGCAAGACACTGGAAATATCTAATGCTCACTCTTGCCCTATTCTGAACGTGTCTCCATTATCGTAACAGCATCACATGCGAATGTGGGCACCTGTGCCTGCAGTTCACCAACCTTATGATCAAAGAACAAGTGTAGGCCACTTCGGCCCTTCAAGCACATTCTGACATTCAATACAGTCATGGCTGATCTGGTTTTCACCTCAACTCTACATTCTGACAGATCCCAGATAATCTTTCAATGGTAATTGCTTGGTAATCAAGAATCTATCCACCCGTGCCTTAAAAATATTTCAAGATTCTGCATCCACTCCCTTCAGATCAAGAAAATTCCGAAGACTCAATCCTCGGAGAAAAAAATGTTTTGTTACCTTACTTACCAGGCTTTGTGTATTTTCACTCATATACTGTAAAGCCTAATTTAATTGATCTGATTTCTATACTCTTGTTCTAACCCCAACTAATACAAGGTTGCCAATTTATGAACATCCCACTTACGAACACGATCCCATTCAGATGCGTCATTTTAAAGATCTTACGTGTGAACATTTCCTGTACTTACAAAGGGCAATTTTTTATTGTTATTGTCTTACATTGTGTTCCGACATACAAATTCCGACTACCAGTGCCTTTCTATTTCTTAGTCTGCTGCTATTGGTCCCACATAATCTTTTGTGCACACTAATTCTTCTTTATAATGCTCCATTTGAATTTTCCCTGTCAAATTAGTTTAGAACCTTTCCTCCACCATGAGGAAATGTTTCCATCAAGGACACTTGGTCTTCGTCCTGCTGGTGTGCAAGTTACCAGTGAAACACACAGCTATTGTCCCTCTCTGCACCACGAATTACACAGATACCTCTCTCGGTGTTGCTATATCTACAGATATCCCATGACCCACACTGAAACAGACAGTTAATCTCCTCTCTGCACCTCAGAAGGCCAAGGTATATCAATTTGACACACATGACACTCACCGCCATATACGCTGCGCATCCAGCGCTCCTCGTCTTCGCTTTGGAGTCTACCAGTCTTCCACTAATCCCAAAGTCACAGAGTTTGATTTGACCCCGCTCATCCAGGAGAATATTTGAGGGTTTGACATCTCTGTGAATGACACCATGCTTTTCCTTCAGGTAGAAGAGAGCTTTGACAATCTGTTCAAATGAATTAACAGGCATATTATGGAATCGATGCACTCGTTTTGCAAGTTATCCAAGTAGACACATCAATGCAGTCAGGATCACTATTGGATCACTATTCCTTTTAGAACGTAAAACAGTCCAACACATGATCAGGTCTTTTGGCCTACCATGCCTGTGCCAATCATGATGCTATTCTGCCTGCATATGTGTCCAATGTATCACATTAAGACTATATGAAACAGGAGAAGTAAAGCTTTCAGTTCCCCAAGCTTGGTCCACCATTCAATATGATCATGTCTGATCACTATTAACAATTTTCTATATCCCTTGATTCCCTGAGAGATCAAAAATCTGCCAATCTTAACCTTAAATGTACTCAATAAGAAGAATCCACAACCCTAGGGGTAGATATTTTTAAAGACTGTCAGCCTTCTTCACGTAGATTGCTCTTATCTCAGCTCTAAATGAATGGCCCTTTATCACAAGACTGTGTTCTGACAAAACTGATTTCTGCTCCCGAACAAACAAACCTGAGCCTGAAACTGGGGAGCTGTGTGCGATTTGTGAAGATAATAACAACAACATCAAATGAAAACCTGACATGACCCAGAATCAGTAACTTGTCTTAATCCTGACATGGTGAGTACATTTCCTGAAAAAACAAACACCACAACCAAAAGATCAAAGGAAGCATTAATAAAATTAATAACGTTACCCAGCCCTACAGGTGACAACAGCATTATAATATCAATGGAATGGAGTTAGTCCTCCATAGTAGCATGAATGACTAATTGAAGGAGTGTTCCTTCCTCTGTCACTGATATCAGAACAATTTGCTAGAATTGTTGAGTGTATGATCCACACCATCCTCTCTATTTGAGGAGTTACAGGTTCTCACAGAGGTAAGATGGGGATTATGAATTTTGTTGGCTTTTTTCTATTTTCCCAGAAGTACTCAAGAGAAGTTGTGAGCTCAGCTCAGTCAGAGGCTGTCTTGTTTTGATTGGTTCTAATGACATTTTAAACTTCTGCCTAGAATCTAGGATTCAGCAACACTGAGGGAGATCGAGGATGGAACTTAGGCCCTGCCTGATCAGATGTGCTTGATGGATCAAACGGCACTTTCTGGGGAGGAAGCTCTCCCAGGGGCCTGGCAAACACTCTTTCCTCAAATAAGAAAATCAAAAAAAAAACAGTTTACTTGCACTGAATGGATCCAGCTATATATAAATTGACCACCCTTGTCAGTCCACCATAACAGCTGTGATGTGGAGGTGCCGGTGTTGGACTGGGGTGGACAAGGTCAGAAATCACACAACACCATGTTATAGGCCCATAGATTTATTTGAAAACACAAGCTTTCAGAGCGTAGCCCCTTCGTCAGGTGAAGACTACACTCGAAAAGCTCGTGTTGTCAAGTAAACCTGTTGGACTATAACCTGGGTGTCATGTGATTTCTGACATAAAAGATGTGCCTTCAAATAGTAGAATCACAGAATTCTTATGGTACAGCAGGAGGCCATTCAGCCCATCATGCTGTACCAATTCGTTACATTAACATCTACCTAGTGCCAGTCTCGTGCTTTTCGCCCATACATTAATTCTATTCAAATAATCATCCAAGGCCTTCGTGAATGTTTTACTTTAATCTGTCTTCACCACACTTCCAGTCAGTAAATTTCATGCACTAACTACTCACTGAGCGAAAAAAACGGTTCCTCTCAGTTCAGTTAGAGCAGCAACAGGAGAAGAGCAGAGCAAACCTTCACTGAATCCAGAGGCAGAGCTCCTGAGGCGATGACAGGGTTCAAAAAAGTGTCACAGGACAAGAAGATTAGTTGCTTAGGAACCAGCTTTAGGGACTAAGTGAGTAGAACTGGTAAGAGACAAAGTATAAAGCCCTTATTTTTATGGTTTGTAGTTTGTTAGGAATAGGGAGAGAGTGAGCAAAAAGTTAGATTTGATGAGCAGTGAGTAAGGTTAAGTAATTTGTTCCTAGTTTATTGTTCATAGTTTGTAAGTATCACAAAGGCAGAGGAACTCAACCCTGTGGAATGCTTCTCCTGCAATATGTGGGAAATAAGGGGCACTGCCAGTCTCCATGGTGACCACATATGCTGGAAGTGTGTTCAGCTGTAGCTCCCAATTGATTACACGGAGTGGGTGTAGCTGTGGATGGACTCAATATGGAGGACTATGGATAGCATGTTTAGCAAGCTGGTCACACCACAAGTAAGGGATACACAGGCAGAAGTGTTGGGTGATCATCAGGAAGACTAGTAAGTGTGGGCAGATGGTGCAGGAGGCCGTCCACATCTCAAACCAATGTACTGTGTTGGAAATGGTAAGTGGGATGCGTATGGGCTGGACAAGTTGTACCTGAACCAGAATGGTTCCTATATCCTTGCTGGGAAATTTGCTAATGCTGTTGGGGAGATTTTTAGATTGATTTGGCAGTGAGATGGGGCACAGAATAGATCTAAAGTCAGAAGTAAGGCTCAGTCAGACATAGAAGGAATACTAGGTCAGTCCAGTAGGCAGAGAAGACAAGGGCATGATAAGGCACATGGAAGGACCAAAAAGATAAATTGTATCTATCTATTTAAATGCAAGGAGCCTGACACGTAAGGTGGATGAACTTACAGTATTGATCAGCATATGGGAATGTGATATTATTGCAATCACTGACAGATGGTTAAAGGAAGGACAGGATTGGCAGCTCAACGTTTCAGGGTAAAGAAGTTTCAGGCAGGATAGGGGGAGGGGTGGGGGCATTGCATTATTATTAAAGGAGACCATCACTGCAGTAATGAGGAAAGATATCCTAGAAGGCTCTTCAAACAAGGCCATCTGCGTACAGTTTAGAAATTTAAAAAAAGGGTTATTACTTTGCTGGGATTATTCTACAGGCTTCCCAACAGTCAGAGAGATAGAGGAGCAATTATGTAGGCAAATGACAGAGGGGTGAGAGGAATAATGTGAATAGTTATAGGGGATTTCAACTTTGTGAACATTAACTGAGATCACTTCAGTGTGAAATAATTAGATGGGGTGGAATTTTTAAATTGTATTCAGAAGTGCTTTTTTGTGCCCATATGCAGGTAGAGATGGGGTAGTGTTAGACCTAATCCCAAAGAACAAAACCAATCAAGTGTCCAGTTCTGGACACCTAGTTATAAGAAGGATATTATTAAGCTGGAGAGGGTTCAGAAGAGATTTACCAGGATGTTGCCAGGCATGGAAGGTTTGAGTTATAAAGAAAGGCTGGACAGGCTGGGACTTCTTTCACTGGAGCACAGGGGGTTGAGAGGCGAGCTTACAGAAGTTTATACAATAATGAGGGGTGTAGATAGAATTAATGGTGTTTGTCTGTTCCCTAGGATGGGGGATTTCAAGACTAGGGGGCACATTGTAAGGTGAAAGGAGAGAGATTTAAAAAAGACATGAGGCGCAAATATTTTACACAGCGGGTGGTTCGTGTGTGGAAGGAACTTCCTGAGGAAGTGGTGCATATGGGTACAATTACAACATTTAAAAAATATTTGGATAAGTACATGAATAGGACAAGTTTCGAGGGATATGGGCCAGGAGCAGGCAGACGGGACTAGTTTAACTTGGGATTACGTTCGGCATGGACTGGTTGGACCGAAGGGTCTATTTCCATGCTGAATGACACTATGACTCTATAATCTTCAGAGGGAAAGCATTTTTGGGATAGTGACCATAACTTTAATTTTCAAAGTCATTATGGAGGGGATAAGGGTAGTGCAGAAGTTAACTGTCTAAAGCAGGGGAAAGTCGACTTCAATATTATTAGACAGGATCTGGCAAACATAAACTGGGAGCAGCTACTTGCAGGTATGTCTACATTTGGAAAGCGGGAGTCTTTTTTAAAAGTAGTCTAGTGAGACCTCAGGGCCACTACGTTCCTTTAAAAGTGAAGGGCAAGGGCAGCAAGTCCGGGAAACCCTGGATGTCAAGGAATATCAAGAGTTAGATAAGGAAAAAGGAAGCATATACACAGCTCATTAAAAACAGTGGAGGCCCCTCGAAAGTATAGAGAATGTAGGGAGTTGTTTAAAAAAAAGAAAACTGGAGGGCAAAGACAGCCTTGAAATATCTTTGGCAGATAGGATTAAGGAAAATCGTAAGGGATTTTATAAGTATGTTAAGAGAACAAGGATTCCCAGGGAAAGAGTGGAGCCTATTAGAGACTAAAGTGGAAATCTCAGAGCCAGAGGACATGCCTGAGATCAGACATGGCTGTATTCACAGAAGAGAAAGACACTGTAGCTAGGAATTTCAGTTGGAATGGTGAGGTTTTAGAACACATTAGGATTAATAAGAAGGAGTTATTAGATGTTTTAGTGGGCATAAACGTGCAGAATGCCAGGCCAGATAAGATATATCCAAGGTTGCTATGAGATGCAAGAGAGGAGATTGCTGAAGCTCTGACAGAGATATTTAATACTTTGTCAATGAGGTTGTTGACCTGCTCACCAAGCTGGCTTGTTTTCATTCACACGTTTTGTCACCACGCTAGGTAACATCATCAGTGAGGCCTCCGATGAAGTGATGTTGTTCTACTCCACTTGGAATTTACACTGTCCGGTCTGTTATGGCGAGTAGTGTCATTTCCGGTTTTGTTCTGTATGGGTTTGTATATGGGTCCAATTCTATGTGTTTTTGACTGCATTATGGGTTGAGAACCATGAGAACTTTGTCGGCCACAGGACTCATGCTAGATGACTGGTGGATAGCTAATGTGGTTCCTTTGTTTAGGAAGGGTAGCAGGGATAGGACAGGTAATTACAAACCAGTTAGTTTGACAGGTAGGGGAATTATTGAAAAAAATTCTGAGGGACAGGATTATCAACACTTGTAAAGGCTGGGATTGATCAGGGATAGTCAGCACGAATTTGTTACAGGGAGATCCTGTCTGATTAATTTAATTGAGTCATTTTTTGAAAAAGTGACTAAATATATTGATGAAGGTAGTGCAATACATGGGATTTACATGGACCTCAGTCAGGCCTTTGACAAGGTGCCATATGGAAGGCTGATCCAAAAGGTAAGAACCCATGGAATCCAAGGCAAGTTGACAAACTGCATCCAAAATTATCTTGCAAATAGGAGGCAAAGGGTGATGGCAGAGGATTATTTTCATGATTGGAAGCCTATGTAAAGTAGTATTCCAAAGGAACCAGTGCTGGGAGCCTTGTTATTTGTTCTGTTCATTCATGATTTTGATGTGAATGTGAAAGGTAAAATTAATAAGTTTGTAGATGGTGTGAAAATTGTGGTGTTGTTCATAGTGATGATGGTCTCAGACATCTGATAATAATCAGCTGGTAAAGTGGCAGATGGAATGTAATCTTGATAAGTGCAAGGTGATGCATTTTAGGAGGTCTAATAAAGGAAGGATATGGACAATATATACTTCCCTAGGAAGTACTGAGAAACAAAGAGACCTTGGTATACAAGTCCGTAGATCTCTGAGGGTCTCAGTACAGGTTGACAGAGCGGGGAAGGCAGCATACAGGATGCTTGCCTACATTAGCTACTGTATAGAATATATGAACAAGGAAGTCTTTTTACAAGTATATAAAATATTGGTTAAACCACAGATGAAATATTGTGTGCAGTTCTGGTCACCACCCTATAGGAAGCATGTGATTGCACTAAAGAGGGCGGAGACGAAATTCACCAGGATGTTGCCTGGGATGAAATGTCTCACTTGTGAGGAGAGACTCGGTAGGCTGGGTTTGTTTTCCTTGGAGCAGAGGAAGCTGAGGGGCGGTCTGGCTGAGGGATACAAAATTGATACGCACAGACAGGATAGATTATGATAACTTATTCCCGATGGCTGATGTGTCTAAGATCAGGGGGCAGGAGTTTAAGGTAACAAGTGGTTTAGAAGCAATCTGAGAAAGATTTTTTCAACCAAATGCTGCAGAAATATGGCATGCGTGTCTGAGAGGGTGGTGGAGGCAGGACACAGTAGGTTACAGAACAAGTACAGGTAAATGGAATTAGTGTAATTTGGTGTTTGTTAGTTGGCATAGAGATGGTGGAAGATAGGGCCTGTTTCAACGCTGTATGACTCTATGACTTGATTCTTGCTTCTTTTGTAGATCACTTTAAACCAATGCCCTGTCTTTCTTATTTCTTTTGAGGGGAACAGCTTCTCCTGATCTTGAATATTCCTTTAACATGTGGCAACATGGATTATTATTGCCTTCTCAATCTCTACTCACTGCGACTGTCATTTTGCCAAGAATCCTTTCTGGAATAGGCCCCTGAATCCGTTTCTTCAGCTTCTCAGCACAAGTGCCCATCAGTTCCATGGCAATGAACACATCAGTCTATATGACAGAGAATAAAAGTCTGGGTCACTTCACGGTATGTCAACACTTACAAAGTTTGGTTTGATTTTAAATCAAATGCAATTTTTGAATTCTGGAAGTCTGCTGGTAATCTTATTGACGTACAGAGAGATACAATGCTCCCAAGACACTATGTAAATATTTTAAAAAACATTCAGCTATGACAACATTGGGCTCAACTGCAACTCAACTTTTTATGAAGTAGTTAAATTCCTGTAACATTATGACACAAAAATAATCAGCGAAGAGAACAGGCAGACAGTTGAAGTTACACCTATATTTAGCACAGGAGGTAGAATCAAATCTAGAGTTGTCATTTATGGCAAGGTAAATGCAATATAATACAAATAGCCAAGTTTTACTGCATTTATACAGGGCCTTGGTCAAATTGCATTGCCATATTTTAAAGGTCTCCTTATTTGAAGGAGATTATAGTATAATTATAGTAAAAAAACACTTCAAAAAAAGTTCACTTAACTCATTCCTAGGTCGAAGGGCTTATTTCATATAGATAGGTTGAACAAGTTAGGCTGATATCCTTTGGATTTTAGAAGAACGGAAGGTGATCTTATTGATTATAAGGTCTTGAAGGGACTTGACATGGTGAATACCCAGATGATGGTTCGCTTTGTTGGGGAGACTAGCTAGCGCAGGACATTGTTTGAGAATGAGATGTCTTACTTTTAAGTCAGGGAAAAGATTTCTTTTTCTCAGGTGGTTGTTACAGTATGGAATTCTATTCCCCAGAAGACGAGCGAATTAAGTGTTACAAAAGGAAGACAGGGAAGAGGTCATAATTAGATCAGACATGATTTTATTGAAGGTCAAATGGCCTACTCCTGGTCTAATGTGGTATGGTTAACTGGTATGGACATACCAGTTAATATTGGTGGGAGGAAAATAATGAAATCCTTCCTGAAAGGTGAAAACAAGATAACAATATGATAAAGAATAATTGGAATAGATTTCAATGGGAAAGCACTGTGACCAAACCTGTTAATTCTTTGATGAATTAAAGAAAGACAACTCAACAGTAATGTAGTAGATACACCTGTATTTGGACTATACAAGTCTTTGACAATGTAGCATGTGTTGGACCCTGATTGAAGTAGTGAGCAGGTATATTCAAGGAACAAGCAGTAGAATGGATAGCAAACTGGTTACTGAGCTAAACCAGTGAAAATGATAAGGGCAGCTAGTCAGACAATCAAAAGGTGAGGAATAGTTTTCTGACGACCAGACCATTTATATTCACTATTAACCCTGGTTTAGACGTGGAAATGCAATTTCAAAATTTGCAGACAGATTGGTGGTATAGCTAATATAGAGAAAGGTTGTCATAATATACAAGAGTACAGAAATTTCACTGGAGACAATAATGAGATGTTACAATCTATTGGAAAGAGTAAGGAGACCATATACTGCTTGATTAATTAGAGTCTAAATGGGATAGAGGAGAAAAGGAATCACAGGGTAAAGACACACAAATCACAGATTTATTTCTAGAGTGACAGAATTATGTTAAACTTGTACGGAGCCTGGCTAGACCACATTTGGGGTACTGATCCAGTCCCAATACTTATAACAAGGAACACAGATGTACCGGTGAAGATGCAAGAAAGCCAAGAGAATATGCGCAACATAAAAGATTAAATAGGCTTGGACACTTTCCTCAGAGATGGCTGAGAGTGCCCTTAGGCAGCTTGTAACCAAATGTGCCAATAGAGAACTCAAGAAAGTCTGAAGTCAATGGGAATTGGGGGAACGATCCAGTGGTTAGAGTCACACCTAGCAATAAAGGAAATTGATTCTGGTTGTTTGAGGTAAATCACAAGTTGCAGGAAATCAGTCCAGGAGCTGCTCAAGATAGTGTTCTAGGCCCAACCAGCTTCAACAATAAAAATCCCACTCGTTAAAAGGATAGAAATGGGGATGTTCGTTGACGATTGCAATGTTCAGTATCACTCAAAGTCTAATAATGGACATACTAATCATCCCCTTGATATTTAATGACATCACCATCATTGAATCTCTGACTATCAACATCCTGGGGGGTTACCATTGACCAGAAACTGAACTGGACTAGCAATGCAAATACAGTGGCTGCAAGAGCAGACCAGAAGCTAGGAATAATACAGCAAGTAACTTACCTCTGACTCCCCAAACCCTGTCCACCATCTACAAGGAACAAGTTAGGAATGTGATAGTATACTTGTCAGAATGAGTGTAGCTACAGAATCACTCAAGAAGCTTGACACCATCCAGGACAAAGCAGCCCATTAGACTGGCACCTCATCCATAAGCATCCATTCCTTCCACAGCCAACATACAGTAGTAACAGTATCTACAAGATACACTGCATAAGTTCACCAAAGATCCTTCAATAGTACCTTCCAAACCCACAACCACTTCCATCAAAAAGGACAAAGGCAGAAGATACATGCTAACACCATCACCTGGAAGCTCCCCTCCAAGTCACTCACCATCCTGACTTAGAAATAAACTGCTGTTGTTCGGTCAAAATCCTAGAACTCCTTCTCTAACAACATTGTGGGTCTGCCTACGGCAAAGGGACTGCAATGTTGATGAAAACAGTTCATCGCCACCTTCTCAGGTGCAACTAGGGACAGCAATAAATGCTGACCCTGCCAGTGACCCTCAGATCCCAGAAGAGAATTTTTTTTAAAGTTTGCAACTGGTCAGACACCAAAGCAATCCGTACCACGCGCTGCAAAACTTGGACAACATACAAGTTTGGCATTACATGGCAAGAAACATCCATACCACACAAGTGCAAAGCAATGATCATCCCCAACAAGACAGCCACCTCCCATTCACATTCAGTGGTTTTACCATCATTGAATCTCTCATTTTCAACATAGCAAGGTCACCAGAAAGATAATTGAACTGGGTCAGCCACATAAGTACTGTCACTACAAAAGTAGGTCAGAAATTGAGAATTCTGTGGTGACTTTCTGACTCTACAAAGCTTGTCCCTCCATGTAGCATATGTCAGGAATACTCTTCAGTTGTTTAGAATGCAGCTTCAATAACATTTAAGCTCATCAGCCAGAAGACAAAGCAGCCGACTCAATCAGCACCATCTAAAAGTTCACTGTCTCTACTACTGGCAGAGTGGCAGCAGCGTACAATTACAATGTTACTTAGACTGCATCTAAGAAATATGCTAATAGGGTCGAGTGTCTTCGGAATTTCCTACCTCAAACGGCAATGGATACAGAATCTAGGTCCAGGCAATTCTTGATTACCAAGTGGATGAAAGATTACTGTGGATATGCAGGGATGTGGAGTTTAGGTTAAGATCAGATCAGCCTTTGTCCTATTGAATGTCGGAACAGCTTCAAAGGGTCAGGTGGCCTACTCTTGTTCCTTGTTCATCTGTTTGTATGGTTGCAGTTAAGCCTTGTGCCTAGAAGGAAGATTTAGGGCAGATTTGCAGGGTGAGAATCTTGGTTCCATTGAGAACCAAGAACATCAAATCAGAAGAAACAGAAGCAGGAAGCGGCCATTTGGCTCATTAGTCTGCTGCTTCATGCGATGGAACCGTGACTGTTCCGATTGTGGCCTCACCCCACATTCCTCCCTGTCTCCACACTTTCCTGCTAGTCTGCCCACCTCTAATCCCATCCCCCCAAAACATCTTCAACTCCCTTGTTGATCAAAAATCTCTCTAACTTGGCCTTGAATATACTCAGTGAGACAGCTCCCTCAACACCCACTGCTCTCTGATGAGTTGAATTCCTTGGACACGCCACCCTCTGAGGTAAAGCTTTCTCCTCATCTCTCTCTCTCTTCAGTGGGAGGCCCTTCATTTTCTAAACTGTCCCACCCTAACCCCCAGATCTGGATACCCCCATGAGGGGGAGGCGTTCTCTCAGCATCAACTCTGTTGAGCTCCCTCCCTCCACCTCAAGATCTGGTACGTTTCCAGAAGATCATCTCTCATTCTTCTAAACCACAATGAGCACAGGCTCAACCGGCTCAACCTCTCCTGATAACACAAACTCCCTTCAACCCAGGAACCAGCTAGCCCCAGTGGAATCAACAGAGTACACAGAGAGAAGGAGATCAGTCATTCCAATGACTATGGGATCTGGAGTCACATGTAGGCCAGACTGGGTAAGGATGGCAGATTCATTCCTCTGAAGAACATTTTATGACAACCAGTGTTCAAACTCATGGTCATGATCGCTGAGCTGCTTTATAAAAATCTACATCTAGCAGGTTGCGCGTTGACCTGGATGAGCCACATTAAGAGGAGATATTCCTGATCAGCCACCTGAAGAAAAGAAGGATAAGAGCAGCGGTAGCCGATTCAGCCCATCAGTCTGGCTTGCCATTTAATGAGATGGCTGATCATCTGACCATCCTCAACTCCACTTTCTTTCCGTTTCCACACAGCCCTTGTTTCTCCTACTGATTAAAAATGTCTAATAAACCTGCAACTTCCTACCCTCACCGAGAAGGACAAGGCAGCAAACAAATATTGTTTTTAAAACATTTGTGATGATGCTGTCACTTTAAGAAGTTTATTTTGTCCTGGGTTTTTTTGAAAAGAGTTTGTAAATGCAGAAGTTATGAACTGGCTACTGGAAACAGCCTAAGTAAACAACATTTACTTAGTTTTTTTTAGAAAGTAGGATGGGAAAGCTTGAATGGGAGTGGCCAGTTCTCAGATCAGATTTTCTATTCTTTTAAGCTTTAGCAAACAGAAGCCGTTTGGGGTCCCAGAAAAGTTGGAAGATTCAGTGAATGATTCCTCACTGCTACTTTCTATGAAATCTCTCTTAATGTCATCTTCTCCTGAATTGAAGAACTACATTTAAGAACCTGCGTCTGAATTTACCTTTTTGCCAAGGGTGTGTTTATGGGATGTTACGATATTGGAACAGTTAATTGGTTATGGGTACTTATCTATTATTCAGTTAAGTTTTCCAATAGTTAAATTATACTAAATT